GAGTTCATAGGCTGACAGATGTGTGAGTTCATAGGCTGTCAGATATGTGAGTTCATAGGCTGTCAGATGTGTGAGTTCATAGGCTGTCAGATGTGAGTTCATAGGCTGTCAGATGTGAGTTCATAGGCTGACAGATGTGTGAGTTCATAGGCTGTCAGATGTGAGTTCATAGGCTGACAGATGTGTGAGTTCATAGGCTGACAGATGTGTGAGTTCATAGGCTGTCAGATGTGAGTTCATAGGCTGTCAGTGGTGTGAGTTCATAGGCTGACAGATGTGTGAGTTCATAGGCTGTCAGATGTGAGTTCATAGGCTGACAGATGTGTGAGTTCATAGGCTGTCAGATGTGAGTTCATAGGCTGACAGATGTGTGAGTTCATAGGCTGACAGATGTGTCATTTTATATATGTGAAATTCTAACTTCTTTAGGAACTGGTTAAACGGAGAATATTATAAATGACGTCCTAAATATACCTAGAAAAATATTAGGCTAATTATGTATTGTTTGACCAAGTTGGTAGTGATTGTATGTGTACAAAAAGCACAATGGTTATAATTGTGTTGTATAATTGCAATTATACAATAATGTATAATTGCACAGGTTGTATGATGATTGCAATTATGTATTGATCATATTCCTGCAAATTGTGTATTGTGTATTAATTGTATCTGTTTTGTAAGTGGAATGGTGTAGTTGTGTGTTTAATGTATATGTGCTAGTTATGTATTGTTCGTATGTGCGTTACTTGTGTAGTGATTGTATGTGTGCAAGTCGTGTATTAATTGTGGATATGCTGTAGTTGTAATTTGTGATGGATATGTATTTGATTGTATTTATGCAAATTGTTTAATAAATATGAAAGATGTATAATAATTATGCAAATTGTGTATTAATTGGACATGTTGTGTAATTATATATATGGATGAATTGTGTATTTGCGCCTGTTGTGTATTGATTGTCAACGTGAAAGTTGCACAATTCTATACAGCAATTTTTGAAGTATTAGTTGTGTAAAGATGTGTATTAATTACACAAGTTGTGTATTAATTGTCCATGTTTTATAATAATTTCTGTGCCAAGAGTGTATTAATGTTTTTTTAATTGCTAAAGTGGAACTGATACAACTGTATTTTTTTTTTGGCGCAAATTGTGTATTTGTGTAAGTTCGTATATGTTATCTGAAAAAAAGATCTTTATAAGCAATTGTGAAAGTGTTTACTTATCATAACCCATAACTAAGGGGTTATAGCGCCCCTTATCCCGAAATTATACTATAGGGGGTTATCTTGAGATGATATCGGGGCTTAGCGTTCCCGCGGCCCGGTCCTCGACCAGGCCTCCTTTTTCTTACACCCCCCCCCCCACCCAGGAAGCAGCCCGTAGCAGCTGTCTAACTCCCAGGTACCTATTTACTGGTAGGTAACAAGAGCATCAGGATGAAAGAAACATTTTACCCATTTGTCTCCGCCTCCACCGGGGATCGAACCCGGAACCTCAGGACTACGAGGTGGTAATTATAAATGATAGGGGTAAATTAAGGTTAATTAGGGATATGTTAGGTTAAAATGGGGAAATATATTTTCCCTACCCTCAATAATTAATATAACTTCAAGGTAAGGGGGGGGGGAGGGGGGTCTGAACCCCCTTAGTTAACGATTAGGATAAGGAACATTGGGTTATGGTAATTTACCCATATGAGGTAGTTCCTATTGCAACCCGTTCTCGCAAATTCGTAAAGTCAATATTGACTTATTAACTACGTGCATAGGTGATATACTAAACATAATAGATACCCTTAAAAAGATTCATAGAAAACACCGACCTTACCTAACCTTGTTAGTATCTTAAGATAAGCATCTTATTGCTTCGTAATTACAATTATTACTTAACCTATACCTATTATAGGTTAGGTAATAATTGTAATTACGAAGCAATAAGATGCTTATCTTAACATTCTAAGTAGGTTAGGTAAGGTCGGTGTTTTCTATGAATCTTTTTAAGGGTATCTATTATGTTAAGTATGTCACCTATGCACATATTTAATAAGTCAATATTGACTTATTAAATTTGCGAGAACGGGTTGCCTATTGATATCAACCCAATCTCTTTATATACATATATATATATATATATATATATATATATATATATATATATATATATATATATATATATATATATATAATGAGTCTGATTACTTTATTACCTTTGTGTGTTGTATTGAGAATGAACGACGGAAGGTTATTAATGTGCTTGATGGGGTTCTGGGAGTTCTACTCCCCAAGCCCAACCCGAGGCCAGGCTTTGCTTGCGAGACCTTGGTCCACTAGGCTGTTGCTTGGAGCGGCCCGCAGGCCCACATATCCACCACAGCCCAGTTGGTCCAGGCACTTTTTGAAGAAAACTATCTAGTTTTCTCTTGAAGATGTCCACGGTTGTTCCGGCAATATTTCTTATGCTCGCTGGGAGAATGTTGAACAACCTTGGACCTCTGATGTTTATACAGTGTTCTCTGATTTTGCCTAGGGCACCTCTGCTCTTCACTGGCTCTATTCTGCATTTTCTTCCATATTGTTCACTCCAGTATGTTGTTATTTTACTGTGTAGATTTGGGACCTAGTCCTCCAGTATGTTCCATATATATATTATTTGATATCTCTCTCGTCTCCTTTCTAGTGAGTACATTTGGAGAGCTTTGAGACTATGCCAATAATTTAGGTGCTTTATCGTGTCTATGTATGCCATATATGTTCTCTGTACTCCCTCTATTTCAGCAATCTCTCCTGCTCTGAAGGGGGAAGTGAGTACTGAGCAGTACTCAAGACTGGACAGCACAAGTGATTTGAATAGTACAACCATTGTGATGGGATCCCTGGACTTGAAGGATCTTGTTATCCATTCTATCATTTTTCTGGCTGACAATATTTGCTTGGTTATGCTCCCTAAACATTAGGTCGTCAGACATCATTATTCCCAAATCCTATACATGCTGCTTTCCTACTATGGGCAGATTTGATTGTGTTTTGTACCCTGTATTATGTTTAATGTCCTCATTTTTACCATACCTGAGTACCTGGCATTTATCACTGTTAAACATCATGTTATTTTCTGCTGCCCAGTCAAAAACTTTATTAATATCTGCTTGTAGTTTTCAATGTCTTCAACAGAGGTAATTTTCATGCTGATTTTTGTGTTATCTGCAAAAGATGATACGAAGCTGTGACTTGTATTTTTGTCTATATCTGATATGAGAATAAGGAAAAGCAGCTTGCAAGGACTGTACCGAGGTACAGAGCTTTTAACTGCACTTGGACTGATTTTATATGGTTGACTGTTACTCTGTGTGTTCTGTTCGACAGAAAATTTAGTATCCACCATCCTACTTTACCTGTTATTCCCATTGACCTCATTTTGTGTGCTATCACTTCATGGTCACATTTATTGACTGCCTTTGTAGTCTCTGTATACCACATCTGCATTCAGTATTTCTTCCAATGCCTCAGTGATTTTGTCATAGTGACCAAGGAGCTGTAATAAGTCATTATCTTCCCTCTCTAAATCCATGTTGGCCTGGGTTGTGAAGGTAAGTCTAAAAGAAGTGCAGGACCAACCAGGCTGTGGTGGGTATGTGGGCCTGCAGACCACTCCAAGCAAGAGCCTGATGGACCAAGCTCTCAAGTCAAGCCTGGCTTTGGGTTGGGAGAACTTCCAGAATCCCATCAAGCCAGTATCAAGCAGGTATCCCTTGTGTAGAGGGGCTGTCTGCTGATTTAAGCACATCTGGTATCTCCCCAGTGTCCAAGCTCTTCATCCACACTATACAGAGTGCCTGTGCTACTGGCACTTTGCATTTCTTTATAAATATTTAATTCCACGAGTCTGGACTCAGGGCTGAGTGCATGGGCATGTTGTCAATTTCTCTCAAAATATGCAACTTAATGAATAACTCTTCTCGTTGCTATTGATGACTCTGAATGACCCCGGATGACTCCAGATGACCACTGATGATTCTTCATTTATTTATATATATATATATATATATATATATATATATATATATATATATATATATATATATATATATACAGTTAGATAAATATACACACATACCAAAAGAAATATATAAGATATATATATATATATATATATATATATATATATATATATATATATATATATATATATATATATATATATATACAGTTAGATAAATATACACACATACCAAAATAATAGGGGTGGTAGGAGAAGAAAATATCAAAGTGTTCAGTGAGGATCCACAAGGTCTTCTCTGAGTACTCTTTATTTTCTTCTCCGAGGCTATGGGTCCCTACACTTGCACCAGAGGTGGTACCCCTTCTAGGTTATATATATATATATATATATATATATATATATATATATATATATATATATATATATATATATATATATATATATATATATATGTATATATATATATATATATATATATAAGATCAAAGTCCTCCAGACTTCGATCTTATAAAACATTTCCGAATCTTCAGTCCTTCTCTTTGTCCAACCACTTGGGCTGGACGGTAGAGCGACGGTCTCGCTTCATGCAGGTCGGCGTTCAATCCCCGACCGTCCAAGTGGTTGGACACCATTCCGTCTCCCCCGTTCCATCCTTATTACCATGGTCTACCTAAGACACATAAAGCTGGTGTTCCTCTTCGTCCTATCATGTCTTCACGAGGCTCTGTCGGCTATCCTCTCTGTCGGCCATCCTCTTGAGCCAAAACTCTGACGCCTTACCTCGGCACTTTTTCTCCTGGCCAGCTGTTACGAGCCCTTCGTAGCCGGGTTCTCTCTAAACTCTATGATGCCACTCAAGTTCACACGACTCTGACCTTGGTGGACATATACTGTAATGTTTAAGGTAAATAAAAATAATAGCACTTAAAATATCCCGTTATTTTTACCCTTCATCATTAATATGTACAAGTGTGTATGTGAGGCCGTCCTGAGCGGCGCCACTATGGCCCTCACACTAGCCAGGGTCACTATGGCCCTCACACTAGCCAGGGTCACTATGGCCCTCACACTAGCCAGGGTCACTATGGCCCTAAAACTAGCCAGGGTCACTATGGCCCTCACGCTAGCCAGGGTCACTATGGCCCTCACGCTAGCCAGGGTCACTATGGCCCTCACGCTAGCCAGGGTCACTATGGCCCTCACGCTAGCCAGGGTCACTATGGCCCTCACGCTAGCCAGGGTCACTATGGCCCTCACGCTAGCCAGGGTCACTATGGCCCTCACACTACCCAGGATCACTATGGCCCTCACGCTAGCCAGGGTCACTATGGCCCTCACACTAGCCAGGGTCACTATGGCCCTCACGCTAGCCAGGGTCACTATGGCCCTCACGCTAGCCAGGGTCACTATGGCCCTCACGCTAGCCAGGGTCACTATGGCCCTCACACTACCCAGGATCACTATGGCCCTCACGCTAGCCAGGGTCACTATGGCCCTCACGCTAGCCAGGGTCACTATGGCCCTCACGCTAGCCAGGGTCACTATGGCCCTCACACTACCCAGGATCACTATGGCCCTCACGCTAGCCAGGGTCACTATGGCCCTCACGCTAGCCAGGGTCACTATGGCCCTCACGCTAGCCAGGGTCACTATGGCCCTCACGCTAGCCAGGGTCACTATGGCCCTCACACTACCCAGGATCACTATGGCCCTCACGCTAGCCAGGGTCACTATGGCCCTCACGCTAGCCAGGGTCACTATGGCCCTCACGCTAGCCAGGGTCACTATGGCCCTCACGCTAGCCAGGGTCACTATGGCCCTCACGCTAGCCAGGGTCACTATGGCCCTCACGCTAGCCAGGGTCACTATGGCCCTCACACTAGCCAGCGTCACTATGGCCCTCACGCTAGCCAGGGTCACTATGGCCCTCACGCTAGCCAGGGTCACTATGGCCCTCACACTAGCCAGGGTCACTATGGCCCTCACACTACCCAGGATCACTATGGCCCTCACGCTAGCCAGGGTCACTATGGCCCTCACACTAGCCAGGGTCACTATGGCCCTCACGCTAGCCAGGGCCACTATGGCCCTCACACTAGCCAGGGTCACTATGGCCCTCACACTAGCCAGGGTCACTATGGCCCTCACGCTAGCCAGGGCCACTATGGCCCTCACACTAGCCAGGGTCACTATGGCCCTCACACTAGCCAGGGTCACTATGGCCCTCACACTAGCCAGGGTCACTATGGCCCTCACACTAGCCAGGGTCACTATGGCCCTCACACTAGCCAGGGTCACTATGGCCCTCACACTAGCCAGGGTCACTATGGCCCTCACACTAGCCAGGGTCACTATGGCCCTCACACTAGCCAGCGCCACTATGGCCCTCACATTAGCCAGCGCCACTATGGCCCTCACACTAGCCAGGGTCACTATGGCCCTCACACTAGCCAGCGCCACTATGGCCCTCACACTAGCCAGCGCCACTATGGCCCTCACACTAGCCAGGGTCACTATGGCCCTCACACTAGCCAGGGCCACTATGGCCCTCACACTAGCCAGCGCCACTATGGCCCTCACACTAGCCAGGGTCACTATGGCCCTCACACTAGCCAGCGTCACTATGGCCCTCACACTAGCCAGCGCCACTATGGCCATCACACTAGCCAGCGCCACTATGGCCCTCACACTAGCCAGCGCCACTATGGCCCTCACACTAGCCAGCGCCACTATGGCCATCACACTAGCCAGCGCCACTATGGCCATCACACTAGCCAGCGCCACTATGGCCATCACACTAGCCAGCGCCACTATGGCCCTCACATTAGCCAGCGCCACTATGGCCCTCACACTAGCCAGGGTCACTATGGCCCTCACACTAGCCAGGGTCACTATCACACTAGCCAGCGCCACTATGGCCCTCACACTAGCCAGCGCCACTATGGCCATCACACTAGCCAGCGCCACTATGGCCCTCACACTAGCCAGCGCCACTATGGCCCTCACACTAGCCAGGGTCACGGTTGACGGACACTATCCGCCGCTGACCAGGTCTTCAGCGCGTCACTATGGCCCTCACGCTATAGCTGCAGTTATGGAGACGTCATCAAGCGCTCCCCCTCCTTAGCGCTCTCCCTGGTACGCTCAACCAGTGAAGTCCACAGTGCTCAACTAGCCCCGCTGGCTAGTACCTTCAGGTCGACCCAAGGTGTCATCCACTGTCCCGGCTTCAGTGACCACCATGACCTGTCCCTGGTTGGTCGTCACCTTCCCGCCCAGCCGACTACAAGATGGGGAACTACGGGTAATGGGGAGGCTCAACTGCTCTAGTTCGGCACCTGGCTCGTAGATGGCGCCGAGGTCCGTCACACACACCTCCGTCACTCTCAGGACTTCAGAGAAAGACTGCGCCTGCAGCCCTCCTGTAAGATGCTTAGTCTTGATGTCCACTCTGTTCACTAATGTTCCCCTCGATGACGTTCTCTCTTTCCTTAGACTGTAGGCGACTGAGGGCCTTCTTCCTCTCCCGCTTCCCTCTGACGCTTTCCTCGAACTCATCAGACTGTGTTGACTCGAACTCTTTCTCTTTCAACGGTAAATACTTCTCTCAAACTCTCGGTGTGGCCATGGTCCCCCCTCTCTCCCCTGTTCTTGGTAATCTCTACATGAAATACTTGGAAACTGTTCTTCATCCTACCATTAATACTCGTCCCTCTCTCTCTGGCTTCGCTATGTTGATGACATTTTTGCTTTATGACCTCATGACCTGTGTCTTTTCCAGCCTTTCCTCTCTTAATCTGGCTCCTATCAATGTCAAAGTTGAATGGGAATCTAATTCCCTCCTTCCTTTTCTTGCCGTTCAGGTCCACAGCTGTGGTGGGGCCGGGTAGGAGGCTCACTCTGCCTTCACCACCACATTCATAATGGTCAGTGGCAGAGAGCAGTTGACAAACAGGTAAATATATAGATGGGTAGCAAACGCTGAAGGAGGGTGGGGGGGGGGGGGATTAGGGGAGGAAGGGAAGGATTGTGGAGTGAGAGATAGATGGAGGGATGAGGGTGTGGCAGAGGGGAGGGATGAGGGGAGGGAAGATGGGGAGGGAGATGGACAGAATGTCAGGGAGAGGCTGGTGATGTGTAAATCATAGTAACCTTTGTGGGAGCTGTGCCACGCCCAGGCACGCTGACACCGCTGTCACCCTCCCTCATGCCACGAGGGAGGAGGGAGGGAATTAAAGGGGAGGTGAGAGAGGGTGGAACGGTTGCAGGTAGGGAGAGAGAGTGGGAGGGAAAGGTTTAGGAAGAGTGGGAGGGAAGGAGGAAGGGAGGGAGGGAAGGAGGGAACAAGCGGGGTGCCTCAAGGATCGGTGCTGGGACCCATACTGCTCCTCAGTGGTGACACTTACCTCAGGACGTGGCTCTAAGTGTCGATGTTTGCGGCCCATAACAAGCTCACAAGAAGTAACGTGACAGCTGAGGACTGTACGATTCTCCAGGATGACTTAAACAACCTGCAGAGATGGTCCCAGAAATAGCTGCTAGAGTTCAACACTAACAAGTGCAAGGTGATAGAAATGGGGACAGGTGTCAGGAGACTGAAAGGACAATACACGATGAAGGGGAACGGCCTCCCTATAACGTCTAGAGAAAAGGACCTAAGAATGGACATATAACACCAAACCTAACTCCAGAGGCTCATATAAATAGAATAACGTCAGCCGCAAAGTCTGGCAAAAGTCAGAAAACTAGGTAAGTAGGCATTTAGATCGCTGTACACCACCTACGTGAGACCAGTCTTAGAGTGTGCTGCCCCATCATCCAGCCCCTATCTGAAAAAATACATAAGGAAACTTGAGAAGATTCAGAAGTTCGTCCCAGAAGTACGAGGGTTGGAGTATGAAAAAATCACTCGTAAACTCGATCTGACATCTAGTTCTTTCAAATGAGAGACATGATAAAGACGTATAAAATACTTAGCGGGAATGATACGTGGAGAAAGAGGAAATGTTCACACTGAACACCACCTGAACAAGAAGGCGCGGATGGAAGCATCTAACTATAATGTTAAAAAGATTATGCTACTTTTTTATTTTTTTATTTTTTTGCGAAATAGTTGTGGGAAAATTAAATGCACTGAAGAAGCTGGTTGTGGACGCCAACTCCAGTCATAATGTTAAAAGTAGATACGATAGGGAAATATGACAGAAGTCACGGCATTAGGTAAATGTTGGGTAACACAGTCCAGGAGCTGATGCTCGATCCTGTAGGCACAAATAGGTGAGTACACACACACACACACACACACACACACACACACACACACACACACACACACACACACAGACACACACACACAGGTATCCCGACAATGGGAAGACCTAACCTTATGATATTAACATTTACAGACGGGGAGCTAGATGCGGTTCAGGGAGACTATTGTGCTCCTCCCCCTGCGAGTGTTGCGTGTATGCGTGCGCGTGCGTGTGTGGCTGGAGTGGTAGCTGGTGTGGTAAGCCAGTTACATCCTGGCTCTATGGGATGTGAGTGTGTGTGTGTGTGTGTGTGTGTGTGTGTGTGTGTGTGTGTGTGTGTGTGTGCGTGCGTGTGTGTGTGTGTGTGTGTGTGTGTGTGTGTGTGTGTGTGTGTGTGTGTGTGTGTGTGTGTGTGTGTGTGTGTACTCACCTAGTTGTACTTACCTAGTTGTGCTTGCGGGGATAGAGCTCTGGCTCTTTGGTCCCACCTCTCAACTGTCAATCAACTGGTGTACAGGTTCCTGAGCCTACTGGGCTCTATCATATCAACATTTGAAACTGTGTATGGAGTCAGCCTCCACCACATCACTGCCTAATGCATTCCACCTGTTAACTACTCTGACACTGAAAAAGTTCTTTCTAACGTCTCTGTGGTTCATTTGGGCACTCAGTTTCCACCCGTGTCCCCTTATTCGTGTTAAACTGTGTATATATATATATATATATATATATATATATATATATATATATATATATATATATATATATATATATATATATATATATATATAATATATATATATATAACTACCCAATAAATTCCTCTGAGAATTTTATACACAGTGATCACGTCTCCCCTAACTCTTCTGTCTTCCAGTGTCGTGAGGTTCAGTTCCGGTAATCTTTTCTCATAGCTAATTCCTCTTAGCTCGGGGACCAGCCTTGTGGCATACCTCTGAACCTTTCCTACCTTCGTTGTGTGTTTGACTAGATGTGGACTACATGCTGGAGCTGCATACTCCAGTATTGGTCTGACATATGTGGTATACTAGGTTCTGAATGATTCCTTACACAAGTTCCTGAAGGCTGTTCTTATGTTCTCCAGCCTGACAGGATCCGGCTAAGGTATAACAAGCAGATATTTAATTCACCATGTCGGGGACTGGAAGCCTGTTAGGCTTAATACGGTCCCACCTAGGCCTACTGACCCTCCTCCAGGATGCAGCCCTCAACAGTTGCCTAATACAATATACAGTTGCCTAATACAATATACACTTAATACAATAAACACCATACAGTAAGTCGATGTTCGCGGATGATGCAAAGTTGATGAGAAGAGTTGTGACAGATGAGGATTGCAGGATCCTCCAAGAGGACCTGAACAGGTTGCAGAGATGGTCAGAGAAATGGCTACTGGAGTTCAACACGAACAAATGTAAAGTTATGGAAATGGGACTAGGAGATAGGAGACCAAAGGGACAGTACACAATGAAGGGGAACAGCCTACCTGTGACGACGCGCGAAAGAGACCTGGGCGTGGACGTAACACCTAATCTAACTCCTGAGGCACATATAAATAGGATAACGACAGCAGCGTACTCTACACTGGCAAAAGTTAGAACATTATTCAGAAACCTAAGTAAGGAGGCATTTAGGGAGCTTTACACTGCCTACGTGAGGCCAGTCTTAGAGTATGCAGCCCCCATCATGGAGTCCCCACCTGAAGAAACACATAAGGAAACTGGAAAAGGTTCAGAAGTTTGCGACAAGGCTCGTCCAAGGGCTACGAGGGATGGGGTATGAGGAGCGCCTGAAGGAAATGTGCATTACAACACTAGAAAAAAGAAGGGAGAGGAGCCATGATAGGAACGTATAAAATACTCAAGGGGATTGACAGAGTGGACATAGACGAAATGTTCACGCGGAATAGTAACAGAACGAGGGGACATGGGTGGAAGCTGGAAACTCAGATGAGTCACAGAGATGTTAGGAAGTTTTCTTTTAGCGTGAGAGTAGTGGGAAATGGAATGCACTTCAGGAACAGGTTGTGGAAGCAAATACTATTCATAATTTTAACACTAGATATGATAGGGAAATGGACAGGAGTCATTGCTGTAAACAACCGATGGCTAGAAAGGCGGGATCCAAGAGTCAATGCTCGATCCTGCAAACACAACTAGGTGAGTACTACTAGGTGAGTACACACACACACACACACACACACACACACACACACACACACACACACACACACACGCACACACACAGGAGACGAAAATATTTGTCATATCAGGTAGTGGATGGTGGGGAGAAGACCTGTATGAAGCCAGCAGCACTGACCATAGACCTCAGGTAGACACAAGCCGGACACACAGCTGTGAACATGGACACCAAGGAAGGGTACAAGGTAATTACCTTCACACACAACTCTGAAATTGATGGAATATGATCCAAACAGTTGAGAGGTCACAGGCCACAACGAGAAGATGCACGAGGCTCAGGAACCGAACACGAACACGGAGAACAGAGAGCACACCAACATGTGTTCATATGATTCAATAACAACAATGAGATCACTTCCTCTGAGGGAAAAATGTCAAATTGTATCCAAAATATAAGACAGGAAAAGGCCGGGGCACCGCAGCACACAGTTGTTAAAGATTCGCTACCTGGAAAAACAGTTCCAAGTAGCACGGGCTATGGTGAGCCCGTATTGCAGCACACAGCTGGACTTACCAGAGCCAGCCGCCAGGCCGCGAAATGAGGCGTTGTCAATAGAGACTTTATACAAAATTTGACAATATCCTGATTAACTTTACAATTTATTTAAATATTTTAGTTTTATTTAATTATTTTTATAAAACTGTAATATCAA